GTTGTACTGGTTTGTCCATGGAGCTGTAATGGTTAAGTGCTGATGAATAGGACACAACCCATAGAATGATCCCCCCAAACAATAGAAGTTTCCCAAGTAACACTACAACTGAACATTTGACATGTAAAAGCTTCCAAACCAGAACTACTATGAGACTCAGCTCCCTGATCCAAAAGAAAAGGTAAGTTCAATCCAAACAAAAAGGTGCAAGTACGATTTCTCAATTTCCCTTCACCAAATACTAAGTATAAATTTCAAGTTAGATTAAAGCCACTTATCTATCATGCTAGAGGATCCAAAGGCAAACATCCTATATCGGGTTAAAAAAAAGTATGTCGAGCATCTGCAACAATCTATGAGAACCAAACAGAGTGATAAGGTCGAACCTAGCATAGAACCAGGCCCAAAGCCATGACGAAGAACAATTAGCACTGTCACCGCATCTAGAAAATCATCTGTCAGAGTATACTGCCAAACCACAGAATAAAAGCTCTTCTCTAAACATCAAAATTTAGAAGATTGCAAGAGTTGATTATCGTTATTACATAATATAATATACTCTGTAATTTAAAATCAATCCCTATTTGGCAGCATTTAAACAAAATATATAACCCAGAAGAAGAAAAGAGCTATGCAGACAAAGGCTTCAAGGCTGTAACAGAATCTGTCCAAGTTTCTGAATGCTAACTCCCACTCTGACAAGGCTAGAGTCTGATGCATATGGCTTTCCAATACATGGAGGTTTTTAGAATAGGATTGCAGTTGAACCATAAGGAAAAAAGAAACATTAAATCGAACCAAATACTTAAGAATAGCCAGTGTATCGAACCATAATGAAAAAAGAAACATTAAATCGAACCAAACATTAAATCCAGTGTATATGGTCAAGGCTGAATTGGAAGAACACAAGAAACAAGAATAGCCAGAAACTCAGTAAATGAACATAAATGGCTTTCTAAAGAAGATGCATGCACCAGAGTCTTAAGGAAGATAATATGAAGCCATACCTGAACTTATACTCTACTCAAATAAAATTGCCAAAATTTGTTTTTAAAACCTACTATAAAACTAGTAGGTGTGAACAAAATTTGATTCTTTCATATTTTTTAGATAAAAAAATTTATTAAAAAAACTGATCTAAAAGTATATCAATAAAAAATCAAAAATCAAATTGAGGTAACAAAAATTAAGCAAATAAATCCACATAATTGAACAATTAGAATAATTTCAATCACATAATTGAAATTATTCAGAGTACTTTCAAGAGATATGCAAAGAAATTCACATAATTGAACCATTGGAGTAATTTCAAGATAAAGTAAAACCTGTAAATTGGAGGTAGTAGAGATTGGGGTTGTGATGTTGGCTTCACACGGCGGCTGAGGCAGGCATATGCACCGTCGATAAGTGGGATGGACCGGGATCGTGGTACTCTATGAAGATCGGAAGACCACTGCCCGGTGTCGAGGCATCGACGAAGAAGATAAGAACGACGGCTCAAAGGAACGGCGAAGTGGCGAGAGATAGGTTTTTTTGCGGATAATGAAAATATTAGGCGGGCAATGAAAAATCTGGAGGGATTCTAAAATTTGAGATGAAGCCTTAAATTTTTAAGAATATTAACTAGATCTGATTGACAAGTATAGATTTGGAGGTAAACTTTAAGAATATTAAAATTGTATAGAAAATTGACAAGTAATTTGATTTTTTTGAAGACTAGATCTGATATTATTGGATTTGAATTTGATTTGATCCGATTAGATCTATTTTGGTCTGATTCAATCTAATTAGATTCGATTTGAAATTGATTTTTTTAATATTTGATCAAATCTTACTAGATATGAATTTGATTTGATATTTTTGAAGATTATATCTGATCTTATTAGATTTGAATTTGATTTAATTTGATCTGTTTTGGTCTAATTCGATCTAATTTAATTTGATCTTATGCATTTATAGATTAAATCAGGCAATCAAGACACGACCTATATAATTAATTTGTTTTTTTTGAAGATTTGATCTGATCTTAATAGATTTGAATTTGATTTGATCTGATCAAATCTATTTTGGTCTGATTCAATCTAATTAGATTTGATATGATGTATTTAAAGATTAGATCAAGCAAATATGACACGACCTATACAATTAAATTGATTTTTCTTAATATTTGATCTGATCTTACTAGATCTGGATTTGATTTGATTCAATATTTTTGAAGATTAGATCTGATCTTATTGGACTTGACTTT